TGGGTTCTCAGCCTGTCTCTGTGTGTTTGCTGCTTTTTAGTCTGTTTTTGTCAATCCCTGTAAAACCATTGATTTGTCTGCTTGGATGACCAGACTTGTATTACTAGTTTGAATTAACTTGGACTAAATCAAGGAAACACATCACCCAGAGTATTTAGTACACAAAAGAAGTTCTACAAATAAATACTGAAACATATAAAACACATAATAAATTTAATATTATAAGGAGTCATCAATGCTCTACCCTCAAACAGTATCCAAAGAAAGAATGGTCAAAGGACTGTACTTATATAGCTCCTTTCTGTCCAATCAGGATGTATAAAGCTCTTTACAATCTGCTACTCTACTGCATCATTCTACAAAGCTAATCTAGATTAATCATCCTAANATTCAAGAGTTCCTGAAGACAGAGAACAGATCAGAGAAGAAACTCTCAGAGATTCAGTGTTCAGCTCTGGCCTACATGCTGCAGATGTCAGAGGAGGTTCTGGATGAGTTGAACGTGAAGACGTACAACGCAACAAACCAGGGTAGACTGAGACTGATTCCAGCTGTGAGGAACTGCAGAAAGTTTCTGTGAGTCCAGATGTTTCATTCAATCAGCAGTCAGGGGAGATCAGCTGTTTGAATTATTAGTAGTTTTTTTAACTATGAAGGATTCTATATGGTTTAAATTCGAGACACTTTGTAATCTTTATTCGATTAAAAGATTTTCATAGAAATGACTGAAGTTCACAGGTCAAAGGTCAATTTAGAAATGTATTTATATAATTTTTCATGTGGGCAGATGTGGATTTGGTCTGCAAAAATCTGCTCAATTTAATCAGAGACATACATACAACTTTAATGAGAATAAAAAAAGACAAAAGTTCAGATTATTCTAAAAGTTGGAGTGAAACACTTAACATCAGAGGTGTCAAAAGTATTCACATTCATTTCTTAACACCAGAACACCTCACCAGGGAGGCGTCCAGGAGGCATCCTAACCAGATGCCCGAGCCACCTCAACTGGCCCCTATTGACATGGAGGAGCAGCAGCTCTACTCTGAGTCCCTCCCGGATGACCGAGCTTCTCACCCTATCTCGAAGGGAGAGCCCAGACACCCTGCAAAGGAAATCATTTCGGCCGCTTGTATCCGCAATCTCGTTCTTTCGGTCACTACCAAAAGTTTGTGACCATAGATGAGGGTAGGAACGTAGACCGACCGGTAAACAAAGAGCTTTGCCTTCTGGCTCAGCTCCCGCTTCACCACGACAGACCGGTACAGCGCCCGCATCACTGCAGATGCAGCACCAATCCGCCTGCCGATCTCCCGCTTCATTCTTCCCTCATTCGTGAACAAGACTCCGAGATACTTAAACTTCTCTACTTGGGGCAGAACCTTCTCCCCGACTCGGAGGCAGCACGSTACCAGTTTCTGGCTCAAGATCATGGTCTCAGATTTGGAGGCACTGATCCTCATCCCGGCTGCTTCACATTCGGCTGCGAACTGCTCAAGTGAGAGCTGGAGATCATGATCTGATGAAGCCAATAGGACCACATCATCCACAAAAAGCAGGGATGTGATCCTAAGGTCACCAAAAAGGATCCCCTTAACACCTTGGCTGTGCCGAGAAATTCTGTCCGTAAAAGTTATGAACAGAATCAGTGACAAAGGGCAACCTTGGCGGAGTCCAACGCTCACTGAAAACAAGCCGACTTTCTACCAGCAATGCGGACCAAGCTCTGGCACTGGTCATACAGGGACCTAACAGCTCATGTCAATGGGCCTGGTACCCCATACTCCCGGAGTACCCGCCACAGGAGTCCCTGAGGGACACAGTCAAACACCTTCTCCAAGTCCACAAAACACATATAGACTGGCTGGGCAAACTCCCATGCACCTTCCAAGACCCTGCTAAGGGTGTAGAGCTGGTCCGCTGTTCCACGACCAGGATGAAAACCACACTGCTCTTCCTGAATCCAAGATTCGACTATCTGATGGACCCCCTTCTCCAGAACCCCCAAATAGACCGTAGCAGGGAGGCTCAGAAGTGTGATCCCCTATATTTGGAACACACTCTGTGGTCCCCCTTTTTAAATAAGGGGACCACCACCCCAGTCTGCCAATCCAGGGGAACTGCCCCCTATGTCCACACAATATTGTAGAGTTGCGTCAACCAATGCAACCCCACGACATCCAGAGCCCTAAGGAACTCCGGGCAAATCTCATCCACCCCCAGCGCCCTGCCAGCRAGGAGCTTTTTAACCACCTTGGTGACCTCGGCACCAGAGATTAGAGAGTCTGACCCAGGGTSCCCAGGCTCTGCTTCCTCATGGGAAGATGTGTTGGTAAGATTGAGGAGGTCTTCGAAGTATTCTGCCCACCGGCCCACAACGTCCCGAGTTGAGGTCAGCAGCACACCATCCCCACCATAAATAGTGTTGGTGGTAAACCGCTTCCCCCCCGAGACGCCGGATGGTGGACCAGAATCTCCTCAAAGCCATACGGAAGTCTTTTTCCTTGGCCTATCCGAACTCCTCCCATGCCCGAGTTTTTGCCTCAGCAACCACCCGAGCCACAATCCGCTTGGACTGCCAATACCTATCGGCTGCTTCYGGAGTCTCACAGGCCAAAAAGACCCRATAGGACTCCTTCAGCCTGACAGCATCCCTCACCGCCGGTGCCCACCAGTGGGTTTGAGGGTTGCCGCCACGACAGGCATTGACAACCTTATGGCCACAGCTCAAGTAAGCCGCCTCGACAATGGAGGCATGGAACATGGCCCACTCGGACTCAATGTCCCCCACCTCCCACGGAACGTGTTCAAAGTTCCCCCGGATGTGTGAGTTGAAGCTCTKTCTGATGGGAGATTCTGACAGACGTTCCCAGCAGACTTTAACTATATGTTTGGGTCTGCCAGGTATGATTGGCATCCTCCCCCACCAATGGAGCCAACTCACCACCAGGTAGTAGTCAGTTGACAGTTCTGCCCCTCTCTTGAGTGTCCAAAACATGCGGCYGCAGATCAGATGAAACTACCACTAAGTYGATCATTGAACTGCGGCCTAGGGTGTCCTGGTGCCAAGAGCACATATGGACACCCTTATGCTTGAATATGGTGTTTGTTATGGACAATCCATGACGTGCACATAAG